CGTCCCGGTGCGGGGCCGCCAGCCTGGGGGGGTGCGGGGGGCTTCCCTGTGGCGGCCCCTGATGCAGCGGCCGCAGCAGCTGCAGCTGCCTCCTCATCGCTGCCCCCAAAACTGGTGATGAAGGTGATCTTCTCCTCACGACCTGGGCTTGGTGAGCGGGAGCGGGAGCGGGACTCAGAGCTGGATTCCGAAGGTGACCTGAGGGGGACCAGAAGAGGCCGCTCAGGACTGGGGCCTGACCCACAGGGCAGACACCGTGGAGCCCACCGCGGAGCCCGGGTGAGCCAGCCCCAGAACCTGACGCCCACCCCTTGGCCTTGCAAAGCAAGCAGGAAAGGAAGGTGCAACCTCTGGACTAACTTATGTGGCTTTTAAAAATGAAAGAGGGGCCAGGAATTTAGCTCAGTGGCACCACCCCTGCCTCGAAAGAGCAAAGTCCCAAGTTTGATCCCCGTACCAAAAAAAAGAAAAGGAGGAGGAGCTACCCACTCATGCTGGCCACTCTGTGTCTGGGTTTTCTGATTTCTTTTTTGTTGTTGTTTTGAGATAGTCTCACTAAGTAGTCCAGGCTGGTCTCAATTCACTATGCAGCTCAGGCTGGTCTCAAACTCTCAATTCCCCCTGCCTCAGCCTCCTGAGTGCTGGGACTACTGGCATGTGCCACCACTCCCAGACATTTCTGGTTATTTCTGAGCTGAGATTAAAGAGAACTTTTTGTATATGTGATACTGAAAGTTCAGCCCAGACGACCCTGGAAATCACTTACATCTTCAGTCCTTTTTAAATTATGTGACAGGATTTTATTAAGTTGCCCAGGCTGGGCTTGACCTTATAATAATCCTGCTGTCTCTGCCTCCCACAGTGCTGGGATTACAGGCCTGCCCTAACTGGGCCTAATTGGAGACTTGTGACCTCCAAGTCGCACCTTTCTTCCATATTTGATTGTTTTACCAGAAAGCTGGATTGTGCCTAACTTAGAAAAATAAAGCAAGCTCATATTGAAAACAACTTGGGAAAACACAAAAATGATGCCCGGCCATAACCGCCACAAATGGTATCGTGCAGTCTGTGGGTGGGGAAGGCCTAGGAGGGTGGGCTGCCTGCCCGCCTCACTACCCTGCCTCCTCTGTCGGAGCTCAGGGCTGCCTCTCCCAAGGGCTGGAACTCACCTCTTATAGGGGTCATAGGTGGGGCTGTCTCGGCGGGCATAGCTGTGGGGAAGATGGGATAGGACACGTGAAGGCCTGAGCTCTGAGCTGTTGCAGACCTGGGCCAGGCTCCCAACTGAGGCCCAAGCCCAGAAACCGACACATAAAGGGGCTGCATCCAAGTGTGAGCCTTGCCATGATTCCTCCATCTGTCCCTGCATCGGCTCTGTCCAAAGCATGGGCCCAGCAGCTCTATAATGTCCCAACCACTTGGAAACACGGCAACAGTACCTCAGGAGTCCTGGTCCTGCTAAGCTTTCTGACTGTGCTGTCTGGGCTGGCCCTGAAGTCTTCCCACCTCAGCCCCCTGGGCAGCTGGGTCTGCAGCTGTGTGCCCCACCACGCTCAGCTCCATGGAGTCTGTTGCTTGCCTACGTGCAAGGTACTAAGTGCTTTGTGTCTATTAACAACTGAATAGCCATGCATCACAGCCTAGGAAGTTGTTCACTCATAAAGGAGGAGCTGGGGTGGGAACCCAGGCCACACGGCTGCGCCTGTGCTTGTGACTGCAGTGACAGGCGGTGGGAGGACCGCGCTGGCTGCTCTTCCATCACACCTCCTACTCCAAACCCTGAGTGCGGTGCCAGTCCCAGGCCCCCTGCAGCCCTCCAACACCCCTTTAACAGAGAGGCAGAAGAGGCAGGGCTTTGTCCCAGCCACCAGGCCTGTGAGGCTTTCCCCATCTGCCCTCCTCTGTCCTGGCAGGTGATGGTGCCCCATTTTCAAAAGGAGGAAACAAGTTCAGCGACAGGAGCACTTCTCCAAACTGATGCAGGTGGTGGCTGAGAGAGGGACCAGGCCTTGTCTTCAGCCGCCCTGGCCGTAGCTCTGCACGCCCCGGGAGTGTGGCAGGGCCCTGGTGTGGAGCTGAGGAAGCAGCTGGGGAAAGTGTCCATACGCCCCGGAGGCCATTCCTACCGCTGAACTTCTGCTGCCTGGCACTAATGCCCGCTAGGACCTTTCCTCCAGCCGCGCCCTACCCCAGAAGAGCCCTCCAGGCTCTGAGCACCAGCCCCTCCCCGGAGCCCAGGGGGTTGCACTACCTGGGTGGGCTGATCTTGCGGCCCCTCAGCCGCTTCTCCCGGAACTCTCTCCGCTGGCGGCGAGAGCGACGGCCCTGGGCAGAGGGTGGAGGCTGGTGAGGGGTGCGCGGCCTGGGGAACGCCTCCACCCCTCACCCCACCTGGAACTCACCGAGTACATGGCTTTCTCCTCCTCCAGGGCCTTGGCGTGTTTGATGGCCTCTGCCTCCTCCTTGTCCTTCCGAAGCATCCTGCAGAGGAGGGTGAGATGCACCATGGAAGACGGCACAAGCCATAGGGCTCTGGCAAAGGCATCAAAGCAGGGAACCTCACGCATCCCATAATGTCTTGCTTTCAGACTAACACTGAGCACCTTCTGCGGGTCAGGTACTGGCTTGGGTACTAAGAACTCAGCACTGGACTCCCGGACCAAATAGGCTGACTCACTAGGAGAGAGTTGGACAGCGACCACAGTAATACAAGGTGGTCCGAAGAATCGTCAACCATGGAAGGGGGACCAGAAGTGCAAGCGTCTGGCAGAAGCAGTAGCTGCCCACTTTGGTGGGAGAGTTGGGGAGCGGTGCAGACAGCATGATGTCTAAGGAAAACCTGGGGAGCAGGCGGTGCAGACAGGGGGCAGTGAGCAGCAGAGTGAGGGCCTAGGCCATCTGAAGAGTGAGAAGGCCACCGAGGCTGGGGAGGGGGTGGGCAGAGCCGGAGGCCCTGAGGACAGGTGGGTCAGGCCGTGTGGCTGTGCTGAGGATGCTGGCTGCTCCTGAGAGGCTCAGCAGGGAGCGATGGGGCAGACGCCAAGGAGCTGCACCCCCAAAAAAGGGCCAGTGAACAACACTACTCCACTCAGGGGCATTGCCTACCCGCCCAGGTGCTGGGGACCGTCTGGGTTCACATTGCCCAGGTCACGGTGTACAGGGTGAGCTGGATAATTCTCGGGGCAGCCTCAGCTTCTTTTCTCTTTCCATTTCTTTCTTTTTTTTCTTTTCTTTTAAGACAGAGTCTCGCTATGTAGTTCAGGCTGGCCTTCAACTCACTATGCAGCCCCCAGACTGGCCTTCAACTCAGTGATTTGCCTGCCTCAGCCTCCCAAGTGCTACAATTATAGGCTACACACCACTATGCCCACCTCAGCCTGTTTCTGAACAAAATAGGGTCACCCGTGTCCACCTGCTGGACTCGAAAGTAGAATGGCTGTAAGGACCAGGAGCGTGGACAGAAGCCAGGTGCCCTCACCTGACAAAGTCACCATCCGCCATGCCGTAGGTCGTGGCCTGTTTGTTGAGATCAGCCACCTGCTCCTGGTTCAGCTCATCCACATCCACCTCCACATCTGCACCAAGAGAAAGGCCATCAGAAGCCAGTGACAAGTGAGAGGATGGAGGAGCAGGGACCACACAGGGGAGGGGCAGGGCACCCCAGACCGAGCTGCCCGGAGGGAGGGCATGGTCAGGATGGCTCAGCTGGCTTCCCCCATCTGCCCTGGGCATGGCCAGGGTGAGCAAAACACTCAGGCAGCAGGGGCTGGAACGGGGCCTGGGTGGGGAAAGTGAGCCTTCAGAGGGAGGAGTGGATGGCGGATGGACAGACGGGTGCAGATGGAGGTGGGCGGCAGGCGTTTAGGAGCTGGCAGAGAAGGATGGGTGAGACGATGGCCCTGCCAAGAATGAATGAGCAGGTGCTGGCGGGTGCGAGCCGGCGGTCCGCTCAGCGGGTCTCTAGGTGGGAAGCGACAGGCAGGCTGGGCGACCGACGGCAGATGCAGAGGGAGAGGCAGGGTGAGGCTGACCCTAGTCCAAGAGGACAGAGCCATCTGAGGTGGGGAAGGGGTCAAACAGTGCCTACAAATGGGAAGGGAGACGGGAGGCAGCAGGAGGCTGGGCGCCCTGGAGCAGGGAGGGCAAGGAGGGGTTACAGCACGGGGAGCCCCAAAGGGAGAAGGACGAGACACAAAGACGATGCCCAGGGACTGCGAGAGGGGAGGGCAGAGAGGGGACCCCACCGATGTCGGGGATGACCTCATCTTCATCCGAATTGCTCTCCTCCTCTGCCGGTGACTCCTCCTCCTCCGGCTTCTCTGCCACCTTCTCTACCTCCGCCACCGTGCTGTCCTCATAGGTGTAACCAATGGAAGCCTTCTTCTCTGCCAACCTGGGACGGAGGAACCGTTAACCAACAGGGCCAGCAGAGTCCACTGGGGCCCACACCTGGCCTCTCAAGTCGGCTCCTGCCCACCACCAGCTCCTTCCCGTTCCAGGAGGTCCCCTTAGCGCACCCCGGCCCTCGGCGGCTCCTTACTGACTGAACTCACAGAGTACCGCTGGACTCATTTAGCTGCATTCCCTGCACCCGCCCTGTGCCACCCTTGGGCTGAAGCCAGGCCCCTATGCTCTTCAGGAGGAAAGGGCAGCTTGTCATTAGGGAGGCCTGGGGAGCAGCAGGAAAGAGCCACTGAGGGTGGTATCCAGGCCAAGCAAGGGCTTGAACCATGGTGCAGACACAGCGCAGCTGGCACGGCCACCTGCAGCAGGGCCAGGGCCCAGGGTGTACAAGGACAGAGGGGAGGAGACGCTAGGACGGGTGCCATACAGCTCAGTATCCTGCATCTCTCCTGGCTCCCAGTTTACAGGGCTCAGAGGGGATGTCCCTCCCAGGCCTCACTGCCAAGAGGGCACCTCCCCAACTCTGCAGATGAAAATGCAAGGAGAGCCATGAGTGAGCCCTGCCCTTCTCCCAGCTGCCTCCCTGGGCAGTGCCCCAAGTGTCCATGTGGGCCAGGCACGGTCCTCCACTCTGGACAGCGTACAGACGGCCATGTCTGGCAGCGCTCATGGCCCTCTCGTCCCCCACCACAGCACACCCGGACCCCGACTCACTTCTTCTTCTCATCCTCACTGGGTCTCTGGAGGCCTCCATACAACTCGTCAATGTAGATCTGGTATAGGCACTGCTCTTCTGAGACTGCAGTAGGCAAGAGGCATGCGGGTCAGGGTGGTGGGGACCCAGGGAATGCAGAGGGGGCAGGAGGGCAGGGACAACCCAAGCATAGCTGGGAGTGCAGTCCTGGGTTCCAGATGATCACATGTGCCGTCTGGGGGACACAGCCCTGGCTGTCCTACGCCCCCTTACCTGCCAGGGGCCTCGGTCAAGTGACTTCAGCCCCTGGGCCTGGGGTACTGCTACCGTTATTGCTATTACAGAAGCCTCTGACTGGACCCTTCCACACAATACGCCTGCCCTCTCTGGCTCAGTGGTTTGGGGTGTCTGGGCTCTCCCTGTCACAACTCCCACCTTGGGGAGTCAGTAATGGACTAAAGCCTTCCCTGATCCTCCATGCCATGAGACCCTGGCCCTGACCCACTGTGGGACCCTGCGTGAGTCCCCCACCTCCCTCTCAGCGAGTGTCAGCTTTCCCATCTGTGACGCCGATGGCTGGGCTAGTGTGCTGGGAGTGACAGGGCACAACCCAGGAGAGCCCCCCGGCTGCCTGCCCTAGCTATGGGGGCCTACTCCGTTCCTCTACAGTGCCCCCAATCCTGGGCTCTGCACACCACACTCGCCTAGAGCCCCAAGCCCACCTTTGCCTCTACCCTTCACTGACCCAGCCTGAGCCAGGCCTGCCTCCTGTCCTCAGGGCAGCACACACCTCTGTGATGACCCCGCCTTGGCTGTCTTTATACCACTCATGTGCTATGTGGTTGCTCCCTGTCCCCCACTGGGCCCGACCCCAGCGGCTCTACGAGACCTTGAGGAATGGCAAAAACAGTAGTACCAGTCAGGCATGGTGGTGCACGCCTGTAGTCCCAGCAGTCTGGGAGGTTGAAGCAGGAGGATCACAAATTCAAGCCCAGCCTGGGCAATTGAGCGACTTAGTGACTATCACAAAATAAAATATTTTACGGCTGGGATTTAGCTCAGTTGTACCATGTCTGCCTGGCAAGTCCAAGATCCTGAGTTTGATCCCCAGTACCAAAAAAAAAAAAAAAAATTTTTTTTTAAAGGGTTGGTGACATAGCTCAGTGTGAGTCCCTGGGTTCAGTCCCTATGTTCCCTTTGCTTTCTCTCTCGCCTTCCCTCCCCCTTATATACCATCTCACTGAACCCTTGCAACACCTCACAGGACACAATCATCACCACTCTTCAGGAGGACGCCAAGACCCACCAGGTTAGGGCTCAGTATGGACAAGCAGTGGAGGGCGTCACCCTTCCCTAACTGCCAGGGGAGCCCCCATCCCAGACAGGAGTGGTCAGCGATGTAGGGGACACCCCTGAGTCTCCAAGTCCTGTCTGTAATGTGCAGCCCTGCCCTGGCCCTGCTGGGTAGCTATGCAGGTGTAAGGGTATAATGGGGACAGAAAAGCCCAAGTTGGCCTCCCCTTGCCAGGCAAGCCCAGAGCAGATGGCTTCTTTCTCTCCAGCCTCTGCTATTTCATTTGTGAAAGGGTAACAGTGATAAGGCTGAGCCTGGAGAAGAATCTTGGATGGGTATAAACCCTTAGCAAACTGACAGGCACGGTCTAAGCATTCATTCCGTTCAGTCTGACCTCAGTCTTCCAGCGATGCTCCTGCCTCAGCCTCCTGAATGCTGGGCTCACAAGTGTGCAGCACCACGCCTGGCTTAAACATTCATCTCAAACAATAGAGATTCCCTTTCCCAACCAACCATCTCATCCATGCAGGCAGGGAAAACATACGTCTGCTTGCTATTCCCTTCTCCCCCTTTTTAAAGGAAAAGACCACAGAATGCGAACAATAGGGTGGAGGTAACCTTGAGAGGCATCTCTAATTCAGCAGCCACACCCTGTGCCAATTCCAGACACAAAGGCCCCAGAGGGAAGAGACACAGACAGACGAGTCCATGACACAGCTGAGGCCGGAACCCATGCCATTTATGCAGCACCTGGATAAAACTTCTCTTGCCAAACTTGTCTAGGTCTCCAGTCTCCAGGGCCCCCCCATTCCCCACTCCCCACCCTGTCACTCACTGCCGGCAAAGTCGTTCTGCACCAAGCCTCGGTAGCGCTCGTAGTTGCATTTCCGTTCGTCTGACTCCTGTTCTGGGGAGCTTTGGGAAAGTCAAGCTCTTGAGGTCAGAGGGAAAGGTGGATCTGCCCCAAGCCAGCAGGAAGGAATGAGGCACCCGGTTCAGGCTCAGGCAGGGAGGGAGTGGCGTGACCCTCAGACCTCGGCTCCCAGGTGGAGAGGTCCCTGCCTGCACACCTCCTCCCCAGCATGGTGACAGGCAGATGCTTTGGGTCCTTGGGCAGCTGCCCCGGGGTACAGCTTACATGGCGGTGAGCAGCGGGGGTGTGTAGTCAGGGATGTGATCTAGGTGGGCGCGTACATCGAAGCGGTCGATCATATTGCTGGTGTCCCCCTGCCAGGGCATCCTGGAACACGGACAGCGGAGCAGAAAAAGAAAGGTACTTGGGCTTTGCCCAGGACAGGCCACCTGTTCCCAACCACTCAGATGGGGGTCCTGGCCCTCAGCTCCTGTGATTCTCACCCATAGTGTGGCCTTCACCCTCATCCTGCTTTCAGAGCTGCAACTCCTGAATCGGGCTCCAGAGCCTGAGACAGGTCACCCTGTGTGACCACCAATTCTCCGGGCCACTCATGAGCCCAAGCTCCACCCTTCTGCTTCTGCGGGGCCTCTAGCCAGCTCACATTCTCCTCAGTCCAGCCTAGCACTCCGTCCCAACCCTGCCCAGTCTGCACAGCCTCTGTAAGTGCCTGCCTCCCAGGCAAGCCCTGCCTACACCCAAGCCTCTGCTGCAGAACCACACTACCCCTGGCCCCTCTGGTGGCCCACAGCAGTCTCACATGTTAACAGGGCTCTCAGCAGCCAGAGCGACAGCAGAATCCAGGTGCACCTTGCAAGCTCGGCCATGTACCTGCAGGAACTGGGCTGGGTCCTTCTTCTGCACAGCAAATGAGAAAGAGGTCACCACCCAGTGGAGCTCAACCTCAGCCCAGGGAGCAAACTTAGTGGCGAGCTGACCCCTGGCGTGGGGGCCACACCCCTGACCAAGGGGGGCCAAGCTGCTCAGCAGTGGGAGCTTAAGTAGCAGTCACCTGCCCTCTGGAGACAGGAACCTGTTTGCTCCCCAGGTGCTGGCCAGAGGCCCTGAGTGCTGGCCCAACCTTTAGCACAGCCAGTTTACAATGTGACCCCAACCTTCCCACCTCACCCAGAGCCATCCATTCAGAGGCAGGTATGAGCGCCAGCTTGTGGGACACCAGGACTCAGAAGCACAGCGAAAACTGACCAATACCCTTAACCACCAGGGAAATACCAACCAGAGCCACGAGGTACCACCTTACGTGCTCTCAGGGGGCTGGAATGCAAATGAGACAAGTACTGACAGGAATGTGGAGAAATTTAGTCCCTCAAAAAGTTAAACAGACCCAGGCATGGACCCATACACGTCTGTAATCTCTATTTCTCTGGAGGCTGAGAGAGGAGGATCAAAAGTTCGAGATCAGTCTGGCAACTTAGGAAGACTCTGTCTTAAAATAAAAAACAAGAACAGAAAAAAACAAACAAACAAGGCTGAGACTGTAGCTCTGTGGCAGAGACTCTTGAGTTCTACACTCAGTATGGAAGGAACAGTGGGAGGGAAAAGAATTACCAGATGCCCCAGCAATTCCACTCCTAGATACATACCCACAGGAAATGAAAACAGGTGCTCAAACTAGTATTTATACACGAATGTTCACAACAGCATTGTTTTAATTATGGAAAATGGAAACAATCCAAATGCTCATCAATGGATAAACAGCCGAAATGAGGCAGGCACATCTACACAAGGGAATATTACTCAGCCACAAAAAGGAATGAAGAAATGACACTTGCAGCAATCTGGATGGGCCTCAGAAAAATCATGTTAAGTAATGAAAGGCCAGTGGTGTAAATTCCATTTATAATGTGTCCAGAATAGACAACTGCAGGGAGACAGAGGAGATTTATACCAGCCTAGAGTCAAGGAGTTGGGAGAATGAGAAGTGACTGCGCATGGGCACAGGCTTTTTATGGGTGCAGGAGGATAATGAAAAGTTTCTAGAATTTGATTATAATGTTTGCATGACCTGTACTAAAATGCCCTGAACTGTACACATCATATGAGTAAACAGTGTAGTGTGGCAATTACATCTCGATAAAGGTGTTAAAAAAGAAAGAGGCTGAGGCACAAGGATCACAAGTGCAAACCCAACCCAAGCAACATAGTAAGACCCAGTCCTAAAATAAAAAAGTGCTGGGAATGTCAGTTCAGCGCCAAGGCCCTGGGTTTATCCTCAGTGCCAAAAGAAATTAAAATAATTTTTTGTGTGTGTTTTTTGAAAAAACATTTTTAAAGCACTAAGAATGCCAAGATAGGAGAGAAAGTAGAACATCCCAAGTCTGTGGCCATCAAACCTGAGCCCTGGCCAAAGAGGATCACAAGTCTTCATCCTCGCAAGAGCATTCGAGATAAAATCTGTGGCTCTCGGGGGCCAGGCCCTACCCACAGCAGAGGAGCTCAGGAGAGCTGTAGGAGGGGCTGCCGTGTGAACCACTCTGGGCCCCACACAGCACCCCAGTTCCAGCCCTCACCTGGCCCCCAGGCAGCACATCTCCTCCTTGGGCTCTGCTAAGCCCCTCTGTGGCCCCCCAGCACCTGCATACCAGGTGCTGGGCTCCTGCCCATCCTGCCCTCAGCGGGAAGCTAAGCACGGCTGCTCCCTCACTAATTTCAGCTCTTCCTAACGGACACTCTTCCCTCCACCTCCACTCCCTCTGCACTGACCCACCCCCCACTGGAACACAGGAACACCTACAGGAGGAGGTGGGGCCCAGCAGGAGTCCACAATGCTCCCCTTCCCACCCACCCCACCTCCATGCCCAGCACCAACCAGCCCGTCAGCCACATTCATGCCCCTCAGACCTAGAGAACCTAGGGAGATGGGGACATACACATCTGGACCATGGGGACCCCGACTCCCCACTCTACACTCACCGCCCCCCATCTCAGCCACACACACAGCACCTCTAACCCCTCAACACAGCATCCTAGGCTAAGAGGTCACCACCTCGCCACCTTCCCAGCTGCCCCCAGCCAAGCGCACCAGCCCCACAGCCAGGACTGAAGGGACACCACCTGCAGTTGGAAATCCTGCCAGGGTGCAGAAGCCCCCCCCCAACCCCCCAGGCTTGGCCTCAGAAACTACTGGGCTGGGAGTAAAAGCCAGAGTCCAGGCCCAGTTTTTCTGGGAAACAGAAAAGCCAGGGTATCGTACCCAAAGCCAGATACTGAGCTGTGTGTTGCTTGTAGGCCTCCTTGCTCTGCTCAAGCTTCCTTGCTGTTCTCCCAGGTTCCAAAGCAGGAGGCAGGGCCAATAGGGGGTCCCACTCGCCTGAGATCACACCAGCCACAAACAGAACCAGGGCTGAAACCCAGATGTGCCACACTCCAAAACTGAATCTTTTTAGGATTGGGCACAGTTGCACCTGTCTGTAATCACAGCATTCCGGAGGCTGAGAGAGGAGGATCCTAAGTTTGAAGCTAGCCTGGACTACACAAGGATCCTGTCTGAAAGAAAATAAAACAAAGCTGGGTGTGGTAGTGCACTCATGTAATACTAGCACTCAGAAGGATGAGGCAGGAGATCACCGCAAATTTAATGTCAGCTTGAGCTACTCAGTGACTTCAAGGCCAGCCTGAACTATAAAATGAGACACACCCCTCAAAAATGAAAATAATAATAGTAATAATAATTGCCGAGGTGTGATAGCACACATTTTGTAATCGTGGCACTTGGGAGGCTAAGGCATGGAAGGCTACGTGGTAAGAACCTATCTCAAAAAACAAACAAATGGATTGCTTTTTTATTCACTCACTTTTTTCAAATCTTACAGAGTAATTTTGTTTTCGTGCTTTAAAAAACACCACTTTGTTTTTTGTCTTGTAATTTAGTCCAGGCTGGCCTTGAACTCACTATGTAGACAAGCTGATTTCAAACTCCACAGTGATCCTCCTGCCTCAGCCTTCCGAGTGCTGGGATTAGAGTTGTGCAACACCATGCTCAGCTTTTTCATTTGTTCTTTCAGACCAGGCTATCAAGTTCAAGGCTAGCCTGGGCAATTTAGTGCAACCCCATCTCAAAATAAAAATAATAAAAAGGCTTGGGGGATGGAGTTCAGTGCTCCTTGGGTTCAAACCCTAGCACCTAGTCAGGGGTGCTGGCACACACCTGTGATCTCAGCAGTCCGGTGGCTGAGGCATGAGGATTACCAAGAGTTTGAGGCCAGCCTGGGCTATATAGTAAGTTCAAGGTCACTATGAACTACATAGTGAGACCATGCCTCAAACAAACAAACAAACAAACAAAATCCCCAGGATCTAAAAAGAAAAAAGATCCCTAGTCCCCTTTTTTCCACAAGTACTGAGGATTGAACCCATGGCCTGGTGCACAGTGGGCAAACACTCTACCACCAAGTTACATCCCACCCCACCCCACACTTTTTAAATTTTATTTTGAGACAAAATCTCAGAAAATAGCCAGTTGCCTAGGTTGCTCCAGAAGTTTGGACCCTCCTGCCTCAGCCTCTTGAGTAAGTGGGATTACAGGTATTCACACTGCTCCTGGGCTTAATCCCTTCTTAACTATTCTCCTGCCTTTAGCAGTCAGAAACCTATGGAAGGCTCTCATTCATTCACTGGCGAGACTGCTCAGCAGGTACTTACTGTGTGCTAGGTCCAATGCTGGGGGAGAGTGACAGGCAGCCAGGGCCCTGGCCTCACAGACCCACAGGGGGACGACACAGTGCAAGAGGGCTGGGATGCCTGAACCTGCTGAGGAGTCAGCAGCACCTTCCTGGAGGAGAGACCTGCTTATTCCCCAAGCCACTGATGAAAGAATAAAGTGGACAAGGACGGGGCAACGCCAGAACCAGAGTCAGCTAGGGACTGAAGAGATGTCAAGGACCAGCCGGGAACACACACTCATCTGGATCGCTGCAGTCACCCTGAGTCCCTATCTCGGGCCAGGAACAAGACCTGGGCCGTGTGAACAGCCTCATCCCCCGCTCAAAGCAGCCAGGCCAGTGCTGCCATCTCTGCGGCTTGGCGGCTCCCATCTGCATGCGGATCACGTTCCCCATCTGCATGGGGACACTGGCTGCCTGTACCAGCCCGCGCCACAGAGAGCCACAGAGTCCTTTCAAAGGTCTCCGTGTCTCCCAGTGAGAGGGGCTGGATGTCACCCCATCCTGAGAGGAAAATACGCTGGGAGGTTCCCTGCTAACTAGGCCTCCTGAGCCACCAACTCCAGCCTGCCTTCTTTCATGCCATCCATCGGCCCCAACCCAAATTCCAGTTCCTTCCAGCTCTAAAAATGCTCACAAGAGCTGATATTTATTTCTGGGGCAAGCGGTGTCCCACGTAGGTGTACACTTGGGTCTGTTGCCCCGCCTTCCAACAAGCCTGTGATGCTGCTGCTCCCCTCCCCCACTAAGGGCCACCAAGCCCCACTCTCCCTGCTGCAGCAGTGACAGAACTCACCACACTTAGACCCAACCAGAACAACATTTACAGCTCTGAGCTGACTTTATGGACAGTGAGATATGATCAGAGGCTCCTGAGAAAGCATTTAAAAGTACCCTAACAGCCAGCACGGGCACCCTTGCTCCTTTCCCTCCCTTCTTCTCTGCTGGGTGCAGTGAAGACCTGATGGCTAGAGAGAGCTTCAGCAGCCCTTCGAGACCGAGACAGGTGTGGTTAGAGAAGCTGTACCCAGCAAAAACAGGAGTGGCTCAGGTGCTGAGCAGAACTGGCTGCCTCTGGGCTTTTCTGTGAGTCAGAAGTAAAGTTTATGTTGTGAAAGCTTCTGATGTTTTAGGTATGTGTTACGCTCAAATGTGACATGTCACGTCACTTCACGAGCAGAAGGGCAAGCAAGGCTCAGGGAGACGGTCTCTGGTCCAAGTCACACAAGATGGAAGCAGTTAGAATTTGAACTCAGAACCTAAAGACTCTAAGCTACAAGAACCTAACCGTACAAGCTTCTTCACCTCTCCTCGCCTGTACTTCTGCAAAGTGAGGACCAGGTGGACAGCAGGGAGGTCAGGCTTGGGCACACATGCAAAGTGCACGGCTGCGCCGGACATGAGTGCTGAGCCCTCGCTCCCCTGTACATGGAGACACTAAGAGTGGCCTCCTGGTCTGGGGTGAGGACTGGAGGAAGCAGATACACTCTGGGTGCTGAGCACATCCGCGACTACATGAGCCACGATCCTCAGCTGCACCTTCTGCACAGGAGCAGCAAGAGCCACCTGTCAGGCCCGCTCACAGGGCGAGGAAGGAGATGTCAAGGTGGCGGGCACTGGGCCCAGGACACCGTGTGCCTTGATAAGTTGTGGCTCTTCACACCTGAGCACAGTGTATCCCCTCAACTGTGACCCAGGCTCTGTCCTCAAGGTCACATTACAGTTATCCCGATGGCACAGAGATGGGCTCTCCCTTTAACCAGCAGCTCCTTCCCGGATGACAGAGGCAAAAGAGAAGCTCATGAAGCTTCCTCTTCTGCAGAGTGGGGCAAGAGCAGCCTGTCTCACAGGTGACTGTGGCATTCAAAAACATCCATGCATCTAAGCCTTTCACACAGCCTGTGCTGGAGCCGTTGACATTTTGCTGTCTTCATCGGTTTCTTTAAGTAGTATTTGTTGGGCTCACACACAAATGTGACCTAAACATATCTAGCCCCCAATCTCAAAGGACTGGGCGTGTGTGTCTGTGTGTGCACGTGTGTGTGGATTTATAGGCCTGTTTTATGTATCTATACCTCAAATACGTTACACTTCACAGAGGAAGAGGTACAGTGGCATTTACAGAGGATACCTAACTTAGTCTGGGGGCCAAGACTCCCCTGCTACCTGAGATCTGACAAGGAGCAGAAGCTAACCAGGCACAGGCAAAGGTCCTGCAAAGGCCCTGTGGCTGAAGAATGCTGGTATCAATGCAGGAATAGTAAGGAGATCAGATTGACTTGAGCAAGGAACCTCGACAGAGTGGAGAGGCAGGAGTCTGGAGGAGGGGCAAATGCCAGGCTGTGAGGGCTGGAGCGGTAGCTGAATGGCTGTTTGCCTAGCATGGAAAACAGCCCTTGTAGGCTATAGTGAGCTCCGGTTTTCACCCAAAGGCACCAAAGAACCACAGAATACTGAGCAAGGAGGGAGGAACAAGGCAGCTTTGCGCTTCAGAAAGCCCTCTCCAACCCCATGAAAAGGATGGGCTGGGAGGGACAAAGACAGCCCGGAGAGCAGGGAGGAGGCTGGGAAGTGACACCAGAGCAAATGGCGACGTCTACACAAACATCACCTACCAGAACTCAGCCTGGTAAGCACCGACCGTGGCACCATTTCAACCTGGGGTCCCAAGGACAAGTGGAAGTTAAACAGGTGGGGGGACGCATCGAAGACCAAAACACTGTTGTAGCAGAGACGCGAAAGGCCAGGGGAGCTGTCTATGAAAGCAGCTGAGAGGCTGGCAGAAGCCGGGTCACAAGGGTCTTTCAGGCCACAAATGTCTTTTAGGCCACAGCTTGGAATCTTGATTTTTTAAATTTTTTCTCCAAGAGCAACCGAAGTATCAAACAGAAAAGGCAAGTGGCCAGGGTCACTTAACCACTACTGATGGCGCTGCTATCAGTGATGGCCCAAGCATACCCCAAGGGTGGCTAAGTTCTTCTGGGCCCTGGGCACCACAGCAAAAGGCAGCACGGTGCTCTGGAGGAGGCTGGCCTTGTTCGGACTGCTCAGAGGGTTACAAGGTCTCCCTCTTTACTGCTAACACCAGATCCGCACTCCAGGGCATCACCAAACAGTATGCTGCAACAGAGCCCCGCAGATCCATGCTCAAGAAACAATTAGAGATAATTCCCCTGAGGAAACAGAGCTCTAATCCTGGCATACTTCCGAGCACAGATTCTACCTGGCTGAATGACCAGGGCCCCAACCGCTGGAGACTCTCCCAGCCCAGGGAAACGCGGGTCACTCACGATCTTCTCATAGTACTCCCGCCGCCGCTCTGCCCTCTTCTTATAGTCCACCATCATGCCTCGAAGCTTCCGCTCATGTTTCCGAGCTTCGTGCCACATTGTGATGAGGCCAAGCCGGGGGCCTCAACCTGGGGGGTGAGCCAGGGATGTCAGTCGGGCTGTAAAAGCCATATGGGCACAGTCACAGCCACCTAAGATGGGGACAGAGCTGACCCTAAATACCCTGTCTCTCAGCTTCGGGGAGGGGAAGTGAGGCTGCAGAATTGCGGGCCCGATGCTCAGGTGTATCCCTGACAACTCTGATCCAGTAGTTTCGGGGCGTTCTAAAGATTCCTAAGTGACTCTGGGGCGAGGGAGGAGTGTCCCAGATGCCACGCGCTGGAGCCGGAATGAAAGACCCTCAGCAGCGAGAGCGGAGGCTCCAGGAAGCGGGAGAGCCGCAAAGGACGAAGATAGGGATGAAGGCCGAAGAAGGAAAGGCAAACTTTTTAGGAACCGTGTAGTGGTGTGCAGGTGGGCGCCGAGGGCAGGTGAAGCGCGTGGATGGAAAAGGACGCCGCTCGAGGGAGGTGGAACTGTGGAGGAGGCTGTCGGGAGAAAGCGGGGCTGGCGTGTGAAGACAGGGTCTGCAGCGGAGAAGGTATCCAGAAAAAGGAGGAGGAAGGCAGCGCGGGCCCGGCTCCTGGCCGGGGGTGTCGAGTCTGACGACAGGGACCGAGCTCGAGGGTTCGGACAGCGCTCGCGGAACAGGTCAGCGCCGAGCCCCACAGGGTAAACTGGGCCCACAGCGGGTCAGGGGCGCGGCCTGGGGCCCGTC